TTCGGTAGGAAAACCGCATGCTCTGAAACCCCCAAAGCCCTGCAAAAGCAAACAGACGTTTCCACACTAGAAGGATTTTGCATGTAAAAGCCGAGGTGGAAATGCACACAGGCTCGGGCTGTGGGACATATATATCACAGTCCACCCCGTCTAGCTAAGGGGTGGCTGCAGACTGTAGATTTGTCCATCCCATCACCATACCTGCCTCTCCCAGCATCGTCTTGGGCCACTTCTCAAAGCCTCCCCGCCAGGCCACGCTCAAATCTGCATTCATGCATTAAATATTACCAAAACAACAAATCCACACTGGTCTAAGGCTCAAGAAGTGCGGGCACAATTATGCTCTACTTTTCCATGAGGAGAGCGCTAGGCAAAGTACGCAGGAAAGCATCGCACCACCAGAAGCCTCTTGAGATGATGCCGTGTTGAGTGGGAACAAGGAGTCATCGTTCAAGCACGGCACCGCTTTTTACTTGGGTTTACCTCTTCACTTGGGTGACTCCCACCCACAGCACCTGTGCTGCCAAGAAGGATTTACCCCAAGGAAAACACCCCTCACCAACCCAACTGCCCCCAAAGCAATCCCCCGCCTCGCCACAGGGAAGGAGGGGGAAAAGGCGCTAAAACAAAAACATTAAAACTTTTGTTTTCATGGGAGAAACTGCAAAGTGACAGCAGTTTCAGGTTACACCCTAAACCTGCCTTGCTATGGTAGTTTTTCAAATTAAAATATCTTCTGTGGCCTCAGCCACTCTCGAGCCGTCCATAGGCAAGAAAGAAAGGAGGCAGGGCAACACTTAAGCTCAGCCATAATTGGAAGTATGTGAAAAATGAAGTGTCAGTTCGGTCAATAAAGGGCAAAGGTGAAGGGGAACTGCAGCCCAAACTCGGTGCGAAATGTGCTCATTAAGACACCCAATCCGCGGGCTCCTGCCCACCTATCCCATTAGTCATCGGCCATCTGACCGCTTCAAATGCCTTGCCTCCCAGCTCTTTTTACTTTTCTTCTCCCATGTTAAAAAAAAAAAAAAAAAAAAAAAAAAAAAAAAAAGGCGAGCTGGGATATAAATCCTTGCTCAGTCATCTGGAACATAATGTGGCCCTTCTCTCCCCCTCCGCCCGGCTCTGCCGCCTGCCTTCGCAGCCTCCAAACAACCGCCTTGAGATTCCCGGCAATAATAAACGCGATTGCCTTTTTGCCTATAGGTTGCCCGGACTCCTACAAAAGCCTGAAAAAAACCCATTGCAGCCACTGATACATTTTTATAAAGAAATATCGCCGCTTTATACTCCTGGCTTGAAAGAGCAACGATTATTTGGAGGTTAAAAAAATGTTTTGAACCCAGGCGGAGGCTTGCACGAAAAAAATGGTAAAGAAATGGTACACACAAATAAGACACACTGATGGATGTATTTTCTTTTTCTTTTAAGCCATGTAGGACAGCTAAACATGGGAATTAAAGGGCCTCATTCTGGATTAGAAGTGACTGTACCAGGGCTTTATTCAGCATCCTCCTGGCCTGACTCTTTGAAAAACAAACAAATTAGATCTGTTAATACCCCAAACGGGAACCTTTTAAAGTTAGAATATGCAGTAAGATAAAATAGCGTTGCCGTGAGCTCAGCATCACCTGCCTGTACCTAAAAACTTGCTTCTCTTTTTTTTTAATGGAATTAACAAGTTATTTCTCCACTGCATAAATTCAGATCTCTTTGCACCATTTGGAGACAGACCTCCAAAGGCCCTTCGCGATAAGTTCAGAGCAATGGGAAAAGAGCCCATGAAACTTTTTCATAATATTATTCTGCATTCCTGTACTATAACTATCCCCTGCGATGACACAATACTGGGCCTTTATAAGAGGTTGTGTCAATGTGCTATGCAATAACATATCCTGCTGTTCAGTGGCGGGAGACCCCAGAACAGATCCCTAGCAGCTAAATATGGATTTCTACAATAGATCGAAGCAGCCGGGAGTCATTACTATTTACTATGTAAATAAATTTAAATGTTAAAAAAGACTTTAAGATGTTTACAGGAAAGAGCATCTCTCTCCTGTTTTCAAAGGTAATCATTTGATGTGTGCTGTGCATAGGGACATAAATAGGCTAAAAACGCGCTTTGCGGGGATCAAAAGCAGTGAGGAATCCGGCAAAGAAGAAAAATTTCCAAAAAGTCCAAAAATAGACCTTAGCATAGTTTGGGTTAAGGTGTAAGGGAGAAAACTCTTGCTAAGGAGCTTAAGCTTTCCAGCCTGTGTGCCCCTCCAAAAATGCAAAGCTCACACTCACATCCTTGAGATACCTTCAGCCAGGTTGGAAACCCTGCCCAGAAGGTGCTTTTACCTACCCCAACAGGGGAAGTAGGTTGTGGGAACAACCTAAAAATAGACAGTTTTAGAGGGTTGTATTTCTGGTGATTAGATCTGATTTTTTAAATGGCAAACACGCTCTTGACAGATGGAACCAAAAGGAACTTTTACAAACTCCTAAAAATAGGGAAGCCCATAATATACTGAATCTATGTCATGCCACGCATGCATCTTGAGTTAACTCCTGTGCTCACGAGCATGAACATGCGGGTCCCCAGCCTTTCACTGCCACCCCTCCGCGGCACCCAGCTGCCGCGGCACTGCCATGCCGGCTGCTTCTGCTGCCAAGAAAAGCATTCAGCAGAGGCAAAACCATGAGTTTGACCACAGCGTTGCCGCTCCTCACATCAGGCCACGGAAGAAAAGCCTCCAAATCATGGCATTTTGAACTTAAATACAGTTGGGGAGAGGCAAGATATTTGCTATCTTTTTCTTCTCTTCCCTTTTGGTCATTCAGGATCATGGGTTTTGACTTCTTTCCCATGCGGGAAGGCTAAAGCCATGCTTTATTTACACAAGGTGTATATGCAGGCATGGGTGTGCTCAAGCAACTGAGATTCCCCCATAATCTCAGCCTTCAAAGGGCTCTGAGCAAACAAAACATAAAGTAAGGCTCAGCGAGACCACTACCCTTTCTGCATCCCCACTCCTCAAAAAGCCTGCCATTTCCATGGATGGCAACTGGCCTGAAGGCAAGTCTCGGTAACGGAGACCCTCTGGACAGGGTGTCCTTTCCAAAACTCCTTCCCCAAACCTGCCCTGAGAGCTCCAGTTAGCAAATTCCTGCTTTTTTGCTCTTTTCTAAAGTTTTAATGCAACAAGCCTTATTCATGAAATGCATCTATCAAGCGCTGCCAGCAATTCCAGCTTCAATAAACCTTACTCTAGAATTTGGGTACACGTTTCAGAATGGGCTGAAGCATCATTGACAAGTCTTTCCATGGATTTTAACAGGACTCAAGCTCTAAAGTCACTGTAGAAAACCCTTCCTGACCGAGGCCACAGCATGCACCTTGCTAGAGCAGGCCAGGATGGCAATAATGAAACGTCAGATACGACTGGCACGCCGGAGTAATAAAACACCACGCTTAGGAGAAAACGAAGCCTAAAAATCTTAAAAAGTACACCAGGAACTGAGAAAGTTGATTTCCAAAGTGCCCAAGAGGTTGAGGAGCATGCTGGCAAGCCTCCCCACAGATGTTTTGTCCATGCACATATATACATAAATACGCGCACATCCGTCTCGTAACAGAACAGCCCTATCTGAGTACAAAAAGCCCCTCCAAACACTATGCTGTAGTTCAAAGCCTGGTTTTGCAGCAGCTTTTTCACCCTTAAAAAAACCAGGGATTTAAAGTTTGCTCCGAAAGCAAGGGGGTCTAATGAACATACTGACACCACTTCAACTATAGCACTGTGAACAGCACCGCTAGAATATATATGTATACATACTTGAAAGAAAAAAAGGCCCCCTGAATTTATGTTGCATATCATTTTCCAGTAAAAGTCAGAGGTCAGAAGGTTACCAGTTTCTGCCTCGGCTCTGCAACAGTTTACTATTCCAGGCCCCATTTTTACTAGGCTATACTTGCGATGAAGTCAGCAACTTTTCTTTAAACAATAAAGTGTCTCAAATACTTAGAATTCTATAAAGAGATATTATTCACCACGTACGTTAGGCCCATGCGTATAAAAAATTAAAATATACGGTTTAGTTTAAAAACTAATCTTGTTAAATGCAGACTTTGCAATGCTAATCAGTACTGCTCAACCTTTTTTTGGAAACACAATTCCTTTGTTGTCTAACAGCACTTGAATGAAACATGATCATAAAACCAGATTTAAAAGTATATACCTATTGTGAGTTCAGAGTCAACTTCAATAAAGCACTCCCTTTTATATTCAGATTAAGGATCCTTTTTAAATTTTAATTGCATTAAATTAACACTAAATCCACTGCAGTTGGTCTCTTCAAAAAAAGTATGAAGCATTTAAACAGCTTCTCAGGAAACCCCAGAAGTTCAGTTTTTTAGGTTTCGTAGCTTCCGAGACAGCACTAATTATTTGTAGTGTGTCCCACTTCAGCTGCACCAAGTTCGTTTCATACTTGTCCTGCTAAATCAGTTACTCTGTTTGGCTTGGCACTCAAACAAAACATTTTTGCATTCAAGTAAACTGGAACTGAGTAAAAAAAGTAAATAAAAGGACAGCTCAGGATTTCGTAAAATGGGCCGGCTAACATCCCTTCTTTACCCGCAGCAAAGTTTTGATGGCATCTTTGAAATATTAGCATGCATTTCTGCAATCTTAATTGCATTTGCTTTTGGAGATTTCATCTTTTAACCCATTTGAATGAAAAAAAAAAACAAACCAAAAACCAACCCCCTTCTCATTGCTTATTTTTATTAAGTATACTGCAAATTTGGTACATATGTTGCTCTAACATGTGCCTGCTGGCAGGGTCGAAGAAAGAAAGATGCCAATCCTTTTACTAGGAGGAGATGGAAAAAGAAGTGTCAAAAAAAAAGGAAGACAGACCTTTCTCAGCACAAACCCCCTAGTACCTGAGCACGTTTCAACATCGGTGACCGCTCGCCAGCTAAGAAAGCACAAGGACTCTGTTCCTAC